ACTCTCCCCTAATTCTTTCATTTCTCTAGGGTGGAAGTAGGCATTTAGTTTGTAATATATAAAAACATAAGCATCTGTACACATTTGGATGTTCTATAAATATGAAATTAAATATGAAACTTCTTTTGTGACATTTTTCTTTAATATTTTAACATTGCAGTTGCACATCTGGACAGCAGTGATTTCTTCTTTAATTTAAATGTGCTGCTTTTTTATAGGCCATGTTTGAGTCAAGCAATTTGAATTGTGCGACTATTCATTCTGAGCCCAACAAAACAACCATTTAATTCAAAGATTATTTTCAAGGAAAAAAGTAAACATACAAAAGAAATCACTTTCTGTCAGCCTTGGCTTCACATTGCTCAATACTTAACAAGGTTAACATAACCAGGATTCTTCTGGTTCTTTTTTGCTTAAAGGGATTTAAGTAAGTGGAAGACATTATTCTTGGGGAAAATCAGAATATGTTGTATTTTAAGAATTATTCAAGTATCTTTTAACTCCCTCTTGTCAAGTTTAAACATGCACCATGGCTCAGTACTAAAAAGGAATAATTAATAGTCACTGTAGCACGAGGATTTTTCATAATGATGTTTACCTGAATCCACTTTAATGCATTCTTTCTTGCTGGCCTTCCTCTTATCACAGTCTTCTGGCCATCTCCCTTATATATCTCTATCTACTAGAATAATTTCAAGTCCATTGTCATACTTCTATTCAAATTACTGTCATTATTAACATTTTATATCTTTACAAATCACAAAGTGTTCTGTTGTGCTGGGTAACAATTAAAAGCCTTGTATCTTCCTAAAACTATATAAGATATATAGGTACTATGGATGCAATTTTACTCCATTATGAAAATGTTTTTTGAATGTGTGGCCATCTATTATGTTGTATATGTTAATGACAAATGTTCAGCAAATATTGAATATGGAAGAAGAAATATTATGCTTTTAAAATAATGTTAACAGCTTATTCTTTGGCTGTAATATAGCTGGTGCACACTACATTTGGGGCTGTCTATGTGTGTTTTTTAAAATGTCATCTTTATTAGTATTACATTCAAGGAATAGTACCAAGAATCAGTTTCTTTCAAGACCTTCCTGCAGTGTGTGGCATATAAGTCTGTGACGAGCGACATTACAGAAGGTCATGTCACTTTTAACTGCTTGCATTACATCTTTCTGATTTCCCTAGTGCCCTTCCTTTGTTTGATTAATACTACTTGGTTTCAAGCGAGGTATCAGAAAGCATAATTTGGAAAGAGAATTCCAGAGCTGAGCTGAGATATTCCCCCTTAAGAAAAAAAAAACCAACTTTGTAAATGTATCCTTTCTAACACATGCATTTTTTTGTTACTCTTTCAATTTTTTTTCCCTGAAGGAGATCCTACGTGTGTGCATTATTAAATTATTGCTGACAAACGTTTGGGCAACCGGCCTTCAAATCTGTAAAAACAAAACTATGTAGTGGTTGTTTGGCTTTATTTGAAGAGGAAAGATCTGGAATTTAAGAGTAGGACTCCTGTGTTTTATTTATTTTCCTTAGTTAAGTGTTAGACTCCAGCACTCTTTTTACGTAGCAGGTGTTACTGGAGTTCTCTGGGAAAGGCTGCAATTTTGTGTAATCATTAAATGCACTTTGGTGATATATACAGTTTGTTTTTAAAAGCTCACTTTGCAGTTCCTATATTCATTGCATTTGGCTCGAGCTTATGTCTTAAAGTGAAGTTCAGCTTCCGCGATATTCTTGCCCTCTCAGCCAACCATTTCACCTGACCATTAAAGCAAAAGATTAGGGTAAAAGCATTGTTTTAATTCGGAATCTGTATCCACACCTCTACCTGCAACCCTGCAGGTGTTGCTTAGTGCTAGTGAAACATGAATCAAAATTTTATGGCATTAAGAGCAAAGAATATGGTGTCCCCCAAAAATAAAAGGAATTTAATTTCCATGAGTTAATGGTGAAAGTATCGCATTGCTATTTTAATTAATAACTAATGATTTTGAAAACTTATTCTGAGACAGGAACTGTACTGGGCTCTTTATGCACATGATCTCATTGGATCCTTAACCAGCCCTCTGGGAAAGGGGCTATTGTTTCCATTTTCCAAGGTACCTTAAGCCTCACCTGAACAAAATGTAATAAGGGGATACATTCTGCAGTAGCTTAAAGGCATCAATACGAAAGCATCTGTAGTATAAATCCTCACTTATAGATGTTTATGATAGAACATTAAAAAGACACCGGAGGAGAGAAAAGCTCTCACTAGAGCGCTAACATGCAACGCAAAGGCCCCGCGCTAACACAACACTTTTCTGCCAAATGGAAAAGCAAATGACTGTGTTGGGTGGCTCTGGCTGCGCGTTTGTGGAGCAATTGTGCACAGCCAATTACCCACTCGTGCAGGGTAACAACAGTTTGGGTTTTGCAAATGAAGAGCCTAGTTCTGTAGACTTCTTTGAGTCATCCTTGAGCAGAAGAGTCACAGCTGATTTGCAAAATGTGTACATGAAGCTAGTGGCTTTGAATAGTTAAAAATTAATCGGAAAGATAGTGGAGAACCCCAAGCCTTCAAATAAGGATGAAGTATCCAAATATTTTCAGGCAGATATTTGGAAGCATTTGGAATATTTCCCTTTGCTAATCCACATAATTGATTAGATGCAAGTCTCTCCTAGTGAGCTAAGCCAAGCCTACAAGATTAAGGATAGATATTTACTAATGAGTGTTTCAAAGATATGAAGGATTGATAGTACATGCACCTATTCACTCAGTGAAAAGTATTTCTTGAACAGCTCCGATGTACCTTCCAACCTAGACACAATTCTATACCATTCTGCCTTCGGTGACCCTGTAGTGTGAGTACTGCAAAGAGGAGGTATCGGATACATTTTTCATGCTAACCATTGTCAGAGTTTATTCAAAGGAGTAAAATACAGTGTTTGTTTCATTTTCCCAAACATATTTGAGATGACTGTATGCAGATAATTTTAGCAAACCAGTTTACTTCATTTAAATTTAAAATTTTAAAGATGATTTACTATAGGCACAAAATAAATTTTTTCAATGTTATGAAGGTGAGGTGAATTCTCTTGATACAACCTAATGAATTGCAGCATTGCTGCTGCCCTTCCTTTTCATACCTCTGTTGAGGGCTGGGGAGATAGCTCAGCAGCACAGCACCTGCATGGCAAGTGCAAGGTCTGAGTTCGATTCCCAGTACAGAAAAAAAAATGCAAATTGATACCTCCATTGGTAAATAGCCCAATTTGGAAGAGTCTGGTGTACAGCACCTGGATTAAACATTGTCACTATCGTTGTCTGCATGTTTTTTATGTGCACGCTGCAAATGTGAGAAAATTAAAAGTCAACATGAAGGCCTGTCTGATAGTCCCTATTTATTTCTCCGTGTTATTTATCTTTGTATTCCCCTATTACCTAGTTCCGTGTGCCTTGGACATGGTGGTCAATAATACATGCTTACAGGGTGGCTGGATATAGTTAGAGAGAATATCAAGAGTTCATCTTTCTCATTGAGGTTGAATTGTTTTATATGTCCTCAAATTAGTGTGAGCTCTCAGGCTGCATTAGAAACAGCATGATGTACTATCGTAATTCTTTAGAAATGCTTAACGTCCAAGTGAAAGACCACAGAATCCTATACTTGCATAGAATACGTAAATTAATTGTACATTAAATTAGGAACAATGTCATAGATTTTTAGGTGCTTTGAGTTATATATTGGTTGATAAGGTTTCAGATAGTCTTTTAAATCACTTAATGCTTTTTAAATATTGGAGAAAAATATTAGAAAGAACTGAGACATAGTACCTCAATTTATACAACCCCTTGCATAATACAGTCTTGGTTATTGATGTTTTCACTCAGATTATTCCTGTGTGTATCAAAACAATCACAGGAAAGAAGGGCTTGGTGTGTCTATCTTCTAAAGTTACAAGGTTTGAGAGAGAGGTTTTAAAATGTTTGATAACCATGATTCTAGTTATATTCAGACTGCATTAGAAAAAAGCACTATAAGAATTTAGAAATTATGCAAAATGCCATGAATACAATAAATTGGGACTTCCCTGAATAACAACCCCACATCCCAACCAAAACCATGTTTGGTTTTCATGGAATGGATGTATATTTGTTTATGAGTGTGAAAGTATTCAAAAACCCAACTGAAATGAGATCTATCCTTAATGCCTGAACTTACATGTTGATTGAGACAAAGGGAAATGATTGGGCAAATGCAAAATGAGTGTTCCATTCTACTGAGGTAGGTGAATGAGGAGCCATTAAAAGAAACACACATGTCCATATCTACCTGCATGGATTATACTACATTTTATACCTATTTGTCATAGAATACATTTCTAATTAGTTTTGATATCCATGCTTATAATATAATCCTTGAATAAAATTACAGAGAATTAAAATGAGAGTTTTAGGTAACCCTCAAAATCAAAAAGTAATACAGAAATAGTTCAACTGAATCTACAGATAAGAATTAAAATTTAAGCCACATAAGACATTGTTAGTTTTATGCCATAGACCACCAGCATGAATCAATTATCAGAGAGGTTTTTTTAATCTTAGAGTTTGTTGAAAAGTAAATTAGAAATAGCAGAGCTGCTTAGTTATCTCTAAATTTTAAGGACCTGATTAACATAGACAGCAGAATAGGAAGGAAGGAGGTTTCTTGATGTAAAGCATCCCCAAATTAATGTTAGTTTACCTTACACATACTTCAAATTCTTTGTCACAAAACATTTCACGTGAACAGGATTCCCCCGACTGGGCTGCAGTTCCCTGCTTTTAATCAATTAAAGGCAGGGCATTTTCCTAATCTCCATCTCTAGATCAAACATTCCCTAGCAGTGCATGTGTTTCAAATGGTAATAAAGTTTTCATTTCCAAAAGGTTCAAAATGACAGGACACCATTCTCTCCTTTAAAGAGCACAAAAGCGACTTCTGTTTCTGTCTGCAGGTAGTGGAGGACATGCTAGAGGACGAGGAAGAAGAAGATGACAAAGATGACAAGGTAATTATCTTTCCCAGCACTTGGGTACCTGGGGATGGGAATGTAGACTTGACACTGTTTTCACAGACAGTTAAAAAAGGAGTTGAAATGTTTGAGTCCAGAAAATTGGACAGTGCTGTTTATCATCCTAACAATGCCACTGCATGTTGCAAAGAGGGAGAGAGGGCTATAAATCCTCTTCGCTTTTGTCCAGAGCTGGGTCAAATATTTTTCTGCCAGGAACAAAAAAAAATAATTCAGCTTGTCTGGAACTTGATAGCTCTCGTGAAGATAATGGCAGTGACAACTGCTTTTGAAGGGCAAAAATTTGTCCTATCTTGAGTATTACAAATCGGTCTATGCTTGAGGGGGGGGTGAAAAAATAGCAGCCTGCATGAGTTGAACATGAATATTGTCACCTGCAATTTTTGAAGAATTGCTCAGCAAAAGAACACGCGTGTGTGCAGCACACAAGAGGACATTTAAACAACCCCGGTTGCCTAGGTTGGGAAGGGCTCTGAAAGGCCACTCAGAGACATTCATATTTCCATCGCTTGTTGGCTTGAGATTGGTGACCACAGTAAATAATAAGAGCTAGTTTCTAGGACCCCTTGGATTGGTTGTCCTCTGTGGAGAGGGGACATCTAGAGGGAAGAATTAGAGCAACTTTACCACCACTGCCTCAACTGACTGGGTTTGGAAGTGCAGCTTTTGATGCCAAGAAGGATGGTGATACTGTTACATTATGGTCTCTGGGTACTTCTAGACCTAAAACCTAAAAACGTCCTAAGGTGAAACGGGAGGCAGGGAAGACAGTATCATTAATTATTTGCACATTGTTTGGCATATGAAACCAGAGTTTGACCTTCACCAGAGTCTGTCTGACTTCTGCTATAGCAAAACAATGAAACTTTTTGAAGAAAGGAGAGAAATCGGTGTTTTAATTTATGCCCTTGACCTTTGATTCCAGTAGAGACGTACAGTTAAGTCTTCCAACAGTTGTGTTGGAAGCAAGCATGAGAGATGTCAGAAAAATTCACAGTGATGAAGTAACCTCACAAATGATTTTTCCCCTAATATTCAGTGCTTGAAGGGAAATGGAAACACACACCTTCTCTCCCTTCTAATGCTATTTCAAACATTTTTAAATTGATGGAGTTTTATGTGAAATTTTCTCCTGTATATCATTTTGTCATTAGTGACATCATCAAACATAAACTAACAAAATTTCCTTCCTGCAAAAATACATATGTGCTTGTTTTTTAATGTTAAATAACATGAGTTTACACTTCTGGTAATAAATGATATGATTTATTGTTAAGGTCAGTTGTAGAGCTGTAGAGAGCTTGTATTTTAACTCCACATGCCAGCTCTGAATCATCATTTCTCTGCTGATAAACACCGAGCAGCCATCCATTTACGGCCATTTTCCAATGCTTGTTGCTGCTTTATTATTAAAGCCACCATAAAGATCCGTTCTGTGTTAGCAGGCGTTTCCTCAGAAATGTTAATAAGTGCAAGCTATACCTCTAGTCTCCCCTCTTAATGATCATGTTTTAATGGAGAGATTTGGGGCATGAGACACAAATAGACACACCTGGCTCAGTGGCTTGCCAAAACATAGATGTCAAGTGGAACATGCTAGGGTGGAACCAACACCAAATCTCTGGAGTAGCATCTATTGTAATCTAGCGTTTCGTTGTCTGAAATTGACACCCTGGTTCTAACACATTTTCAGATCTAGTTACCAAAGCTGATTGAAAGTGAGAGCTTAAATTGCTGTGCGCATGCAACTGTATTCTTCTGTACAAGATGCCGACAAACATGTAAAAGGATTATGAGCTGATTTTTCATAGCTCTCACCCTTTTATTTGAATTATATGTAAGATTTTTATCTTTTTCTACTCCTGATACAGTTGATAGCCTAAAAATGATATTTGAACAAAGAGTCTCCAATGCAGTAATTTATGACAGACTTGTAAGTTCTTGCATAAGAGAAGAGAGAATCTTAGAGTAGACAATTTCAAACTAAAGTTTCCACTATAAGATATGGAAATATGGAAGGCTCCTGCAAGTTTCCGTCTCAGCCGGCTCTTGCAGCAGTAAATGTAGTGAGTTTAGCTATCAGTATGTCCAAACAGGAGAAGGGTAATTTCCTACTTGAAAAAATTCATTGGTTCCTCTATTTAAAGTTTGTGTATAGAGTCATGCATAATGGAATTTCATGAGAAAACAAATGTGTTTTTTGCCATACGAACAGGTACTGACCTCTAGCTCTCATTATTTCTCTGTTTTCTCATATGGTATAATAGTGGGGTCAGGTCAGTGGGTCCTCTTATAGGATAAAAGTAAAAAAGATTAATAAATGTGCCAAAGCCTCACTTTAATTGAACCTGAAGCATGTGTTCCAAGTATGTAAAATATGTCCCAGATGTTTCACCAGGGCTAGTGTCTTGGCTTTCCCTGATTACCACAAGGCAGCTATTAGTCCTATAACCTTTGGACTTGGGGGTAAATGGGGTATTACATGGCACAGAATGAGAGCACCTGTTTTCCATTCAGCAAAGACCCCTGGCAGGCTTTGCCTAAGCCCATCCATATGTTTTCACTTAGCAGATTGTTGAGCGATTATGAAAAGTGTCTTTCTTTAGAGCCAGCATTGATATTAGTCACTCACAATGAAAGGGCAAGTCATTGGCTACTTGACAAGGTCCGTGTGGGCATAGACTGAAGTCCTTTATTTCATTTGAGCTTGGAGTGTTTTTCCTCAGCATAATTATGTACATGGCAAAGACACAGGTATAAGAAGTGGAAGCAGACAAGGATGATAATTACTTCGCATAATAGCTTTGTAAGAGCTTTGCTTCAGAGCTGACTCTAGCACCTTGGAAAGTTTTGGTTAATGTTGGTTAAAGCTAAGGCATGACTTACTTGCAGCTTCTGATTTTGAAGATTTTCTAGATTATAGCCTTTTAATTTTTTTCCCCCTTGAATTCTTTCTTCTTATTAAGAGTTCATCATTATTCAGGTGAGGTTTTTGGCGATGGATTTATCTTTCTCTGTAAAATCCATTGTCCACATTTGCTTAAATCTAAAATTAGGTGGCGTCTTTCTTAATCTAAATTCCATGGTTTTCACAGAGGCAGAAAATATGAGCTTCAAATAGTGAGTGTACATTATGATTCACTGAGTCAGGGGCTGGGGATTTAGCTCAGCAGCAAAAAGCGCCTGCCTGGCAAGTGCAAGGTCGTGAGTTCAGTTCCCGGTACCGCAGAAAAACCAAAAAAAAAAAATGATTCACTGAGTTGTTAATATTTTCACTTATCTGCTTTACGTAGTAGCACTATGTGGAGCTATGTTGCAGATGACATTTTTTTCTGAATTAAATGTTAGAAAGACATCATGCCGCCTCCTCAGTTCCCTTTGTCGCAGAGTGTTCTCTCAACCATCAACCAAAAGTCACAATATGATCTGATTTTTGACCTGCCACCAAACCCTACCTTTGTGGCTGACAAAATATCAAAGTAAGTAAGTCTTAACTAAAGCACCTAGGTGCAATATCAACAAGCCGTCTAAAAGTGGTTTTCACCATGCTGTATAGAATAGTACACTGGTTGATCTGCATAATCTCACCATCTAATTACTGAAGATCAGCCTTCCGTCTGCAGCTTTAGAAAGTTTAGGCCTGCTTCCCAAGGCGCACCCTCCCCTTATAATCAAATCCAGCTGCAGTGTCAGGAAGCAGCGGGCAGAATGCAGGTTTCCCTCAGGAAAAGCATGAATTCAAATGCATGGCATTCTAGTAATGTTTATTGATAAAAGATATTAAAATGCTCGGGCATTTATGCTTACATTGCTTCTCCCTTCAACCATTATGTCAAGGTTACTGTGTTTCAACATAACTAGATGCAATGAATGAAACATATCTGGATTACTTCAAAATGTACAGATCATTTGCTTCACTTTTTGAAGTCTGTGTTTTCTGGTTTGATTCTCCAGCCCAAACATGTATATAACGTACCCAAAATTCATACACCTCTACATTTTAAATCAACTGTATGTATGGCGGGTGGGGTGGCATGGGTAATTCCAAGATAGGAGAGATTTTAACCTGACAAAATTACATGTTCCCAGTTGCATGCAGTGGCTGCATGGTGAAGAAATAACTTGAGGCTTTGAAAAAGGCAGGGAAAGACAAGGAAGATTTTATTTTTAGAAAATTCTAAATCACATTTAATTGGAATGTCATTGTGTTAGTGTGTTCACTTTCTATTGTGGCATAACAGACGACTACAAAGTTAGATGTGTGAAACAACACTGATATTTTTTAAGCTCTCAGTTCACCAGGTCAGAAGTACAGGCCAATCCACTGGGTTCTCTACTGAGGGTCCAACCCTCAAAGTTCCAGTTAGGTTGAGTTCTCATCTGGAAGCTGCAGAAAAAATTCCATTTCCAAGCGCATTCATGTTGTTAATAGGATTCAGCTTGCTGTGGTTGGAGGACCAGAGTCCTTGTAGTCCTTTCTTATTGGCTTTCTGTTCCTACTGGCCTCTTCCTATGGGCCTCTCCATCTTTGAACTCGTCACTGCAGGATCTGCCTTGGGTTGAAACTCTTCCATACTTCATACTTTTTTCATGAACAGGCTAGCCATGTTTAAGGGCTCACCTGATTAGGCCAGAACCGCCAAAGATAATCTCCCATGCTTAAAGACAGCCATCCAGGAAAAATATTACCTAATTATAGGAATGATTAACCAATTATATTCTTAAACCCACTGCCTTAAGGATTCCACATGATGTATAGACTAAAAAGGGGAAATCTTGACCCACCCCCCAGTGTTCAACTTTTAATCATTGTGACAAAGTACTTGAAATAAATAACTTAAGGAGGAAAGGTCTATTTGGGCTCATGGTTTCAGAGGTTTCAGTTCATGGTCACTTGGTACCGTTGCTTCTGGGCTTATAGTGAGGCAGAACATCCTGGTAAAGAGAGCTGCTTTCTCACGGCAGCTAGGAAACAG